ATATATATATATATAACACAAAATGCAAAATGCGAAGCTCAACTAATAACTAAGGATACCCCGTAAAAAAGGAACAATAATAAGTACATATATTGAATGCAGGTGTAGATAAAGAAGAGAAATATGCGTGCATGCATGCATGCATGCATGCACGCATTTATTGCATATTTTATTGACTAACCTATAAGCTCTAAATCTTCTGACGATATACCACTGCCGTTGTCCCGCACCTCCAGCCCACCCAATCCGCAATCCATCAGACGCACCTCTGCAGATAAACACAAGAGGAAAACAAAACACAAAAAGATAGAAAGAATACAAGAAAAAACTAACAAAAGAAAAAATAAACCCAAGAAAAAATTAACACAACACAAAATAAACGCAAGAAAGCATACATATACACGAGGCGAGATAAACACAAGGCATAAATAACCGAGAAAATAAACAAGAAAAATTAAACGCTAGAAAAACCAAGCACAAGAAAAAATAAACACAAGCTAAATTAAATGTTGATTGTTCCCTGTTAAGGAATTCTCTAAATTACTTTTGAAGTATAATTGCATAAAGGTGAGGAAATGGGAAATAGTCAGGAAATAGAGAATAGTCTGCATATCTGTCTGTCCTGCTGTCTAAGAGTACCAAATACGACTCAGTAAGTATATAGTGGGCTACACCTGCTAGTATTAAGTCATTTATGCACATCAAAGAAGTGCCAAGAGGGCAGATCAGATAGCCTGTATAGGTGCCCCTTTTGTGCACCTCTGAGGTGCACGTACAGCTCAATGCTGCTGCCTCACCTATAGAAGTAGAGCCAGCATCAAGAGCATTCTCTACGAGCTCTTTGCAAATACTCTTGAGGTCTACAATGACCTGCTGGCTGCTGAGTGCTGCTGCTGTCTCGCCAGATATGCGGGCGATGCCTCTCCTGCGGGGTGCACCTGTTGGGCGAACAGGAGGAGCAGTGGGGGCGGAGAATGAAGACAAATCCATCACGTCTGACCCAGCAGCCGCACTGCTTCCAGTATTGCTGCTGGTGCTGCGGTCTCCTGCTGTTCCCGCATCAGCCGGGGCATCCCCGTGCAAAGGGGAGACAACTGAAGCACTTCTCGCGGCCGTTGAGGGCTCTGAGGAAGGTGACCACTCGTCAGATCTCCAAGAAGCCGTGCTTCTGGCAGCATCTTCGGGCAAAAATGCAGCAGCTGGTGTACTACTGCTACCTCCCCCAATGGGCCCCATGAGTTGCTGTGGGCCCTGACCACCACCACCCGCGGTATCTAATTGCTACACGTTGTCGCCGTGATAAATGCAGCAGTACACTCAGGTTCCGCTGCCGCTAAACACTCAAGGGATTCAGTGGTACCGGGCGGTGCAAAAAGGGAAAAACGCTAACACCTTCCGAAGAGTTTGTCTTCCAATAATGAGTCAGCAGCATGCCATCAACCACCGCATCCAGCACCTCCAAATGCAGAATTCAAGTGATTTTTAACGTGTCCTAGTGATATAAATGCGGGGGAGAGGCAGACACACGCGAGTTGATGTATACTGTATGGGGTCTGTCCATTGACAGAAAGCAGCAGTCGGCTACTTCTCCTTCAAAGCGGCTTAGTGGAGATTTGTCTATTAAAATACATCCACAGACTGCATATGCAGTAATATAGGGGCGAGCAAAACACCAAAATATTTATTGTTGGTTGCTCCCAGGTAGCTGATGGTGGTTGCCTTCGTCGGCGGGCCCCAGGGGCCCCCCACCATCCTCGTAGTGAGTGCCCTGGGGTCTGAAAGGCTGCGTAAAAGCAACAACGACGAAATAATAATTTTGAGACTAAACAAGAAACTGATGGCAGTTTACACGATAAATCATGTATTGCTTGTAGCGAACAGCGCGATTTATTGAGTGCTGTCTCTGCGTCGGCACCACCCTACTACCTTGGGACATATCCCGAGGACAGTCTGTATTTCTGATTCTAATGCTAGCACAACTCTTTGAGACTGGACTGAAAAGGTCCACATCAGAGTGTTCTCGTCAATACACAGCAGCTGCTTACACTATGAACCAAGAACAATAAAAATAACATTCATGATCAACGGCGCTGCAGCACACCCGCTGCATATCACGGTCGATACATCTATGACTGTTAACAGCGCCATGCTATTCAGTTAGTTTCGACATTAATTTCCTACGCTGCAGAAAGTCTGTAATAATTTGTAAGCAAACGGAAGAAGCTATTCTGCTTCTAACGAACACCTGGCTGTTGACTCCACTCTTCTGCTGGCTGAATAACAAACTCTGTAATCCTGTCGGGTTGTAGGCACATTGTCCATCCGGGAGCTGTTGAAAACTAATGGTGTTATTCAATCTGCACGGCTGGGAGCACCTTTACGCTGTACAGATCTGCTCTACATCCACCATCACCCTGCAGACGACTGCAAGGGGTATGTTGGCTTCAGTTCTCACCAACAGAAGCGGTCCATGATTTGACGGTGCAGCCTTGTTCGTTGCATTGGCTTGTTCCGTCTATTAGAATCATCATTTCTGCCGTAACAACCTCGATGCCCCACTGCCAATCAACAAGTACATCAGATGTGCTTCCCCTTCACAGTCTTATTGAAGGGATTCTGAGCAGAGTTGTATCCTCGGCAAGTTTCCCCAACACCCGGAGAACCCACGAGATATGCAGTTCTTCCTTTGTAGAGCATAGGCTGGCAGGTCTGATTACCTGCCGCACTCTCTATGACGATCTGCTCGTGTTATCCCGTACACTATCGAAAAAGCGCTAGCACAGGGGCACTCAAAATTCTGTAGTCATCTTTACTGAGCGTTCATAGGCGGCCTCCATCGCATCTGCGACTGCACACCGCGAACAACACGTACAGCACAACAAGTGGCCCACCGCCAGAGGGAAGAACAACACCCTAACATTCTGAGAGAGGAATAATGGAACGCACATGCGTTATGCTCAAGATTGTGCAAAGAATTGTTGTCTCTGCAAAATCTTGGGTACAAAGCCCAAAACGTGAACAGCCGGACACTGAGGCTGGTCGTTTTCTTCCTACCTGCTGCTCTAAAGGCTCGGGCCTCCATCGCCATCAGACCGGCAATGCTTATGCCCCCAGGTGTGGTAATGTCGTCCCGAATAAGGGCAGGGTGGATTCCTTTACTCTGCAGCAAAGTAGCAGTTCCTCGTACAGACTGCAGAGCCGCCTCAGTGGCCAACTTCCTCGGCAAGCCGCTGTGCAACACCAATCACGGCAAAAGACACACAGAAAAAACTCAGCAGAGCACCTCCTCTGCTGTGATACACTGCGCTGTGGAGAAACGGGAACTGAACGCCTCCAGACCGGTCGCTGCAGCTGCACGCCCATGAACCTCAGCATACCACCTGACTGCGCCGTCAATGAGGGCTTCAATGAATGTGCAGACAAACGCTGGACCTGCACAGTTTGCAACAGCAACTTTCCCAACAACCAACCTAAACCCCAAACACTCAACAAACACAAGCTGTGAAGCTCTGTACCCAGCAGCCGCAGTACAGGCAGGATATGCAAAAGTGGCCTTGACTACAGCCTGCGGGGCTGGAGGGCTTGGGGCTTGGAAGGCATTTTTGGTTGCCTACTGGAGCCGCTGACTGCACAGTAGGCGTCAAAGTACATCTCTGGAACAGAGTGCACAATGCCGAAAGCTCGCAGCAAGCGCAGGAGCAACTCGCGCAATTCGTCAGATAAGCCATCCTCGCAGTAACAAGTGGAGCCTTCACCAAGAGCGCACAGCACATTCGGCATGATGCGCACGAGAGATACACGAGAAAAGCCTTTCCTCGTGAATTCCTCTCGTAGTTTCCAAAGTGGCACCCCAGGGCATGCAGAAACCAGCACACAGGGGCACGGGTCGTTACGCAGAAGTGCAACCACCGAGACGGCATCCCTGGGCTTTACAGTAAGAAACAGGAAACTTTTCTTTGCCCATTTCGCCACCTGAGTGCAAAACGTTCATCCATCGCCCCCACCCCCCAGACACACACAAACACAAACACTGCTTAAATTGAACAATAGACAGCTCCGCGACGCCAAATCGTGGCTTCCCTATGCCATCAAAAGAAGCTCATCTGCCCATACTGTTGTGCATTTTCCGCATTTTCCGGAAGATACAGAAAAGCACAGGACCGAGCCAATACACAGGAAGTCAATACGGGGGGTTCTAGCTCAATTGATCCCCTGTAGTTAGGGTCTACAGTAGCAGCCCAGAAAGGATCAAAGCCCCGAAGCTAAAAGGGTTCGATCTATGTGTGCATTAATACACTCAGGTATATGGCACGCAGGCTCGCCTCGTCGTTGGTTCCAACCGAGTATCCTTGAGCCCTAATGGCTTGGCGAGACTCTTCCGTGCGCGCACTCATGCAGATGTCGTCTGGCGAGCAGACACCGCCGCGTACGAGCGCCTCCGCCATGGCCTTCGCAATTTTCCCTCCACCCAAAAAGCCTACTTTAATTTCTGCAGGAAGGCACAGCAGGAAAGTTTACACGTAGGGGTTGTTCCATGGATGGGACATATGTGGGAGACGGGTGTCTTCAGAATATAAAGTTATAAGAAATGGCATAAACCAATATGGAACCCATAAAATGGGGAATGACGAGTGGAAGACTCACTTGGTGACCCCTCAGTCATGGTGGACCACGGCGTCTAGTGCCCGGGGACAGGAGGATTTCCGCTGAGCCTCTAGCGAACTATTCCTGAGAAGAACGCAATATTAGTACTAAATAAAAGGTCGCTTAGACCGAAATTGTGGTTAAATGCATTAGTTGAACCCACTGCCCTTAGGGTTTGGGGCTGGCTGTAGTGAACATGTAACGCATGATGGGCGTCTGCCGTGGTTACGTATGACTCCCTAATAGGCCTGAGGCCTCAATGAAGTAGACTGCTACACCTCTAATATGCTGATAAGCATACTAATATTACTGAATTCTATCTGTAGTTGAACCTAGGTAACCTCAGGTCTCCAATATCCCACTGTGCCCACTCTATCTTACTCGTAGTGTAGTGCACGGGCACTACATGGTCCACAGTTGCGGTAGCCAGCGTGTAAGATAGAGAGTGAGCACAGCAGCCTATAAGAGACCTGAGGTTACCTAGGCTTAGCTATTGATGGAATTCGATAATATTAGCAGGTTTAGAAGCATATTAGAGGTGTAGCAGTTTATTTGGTCTGAGCAGCAGCACCCCGCCGCAGAGCTATGCGCGCTGGCGCATAGAAGGTAAGTGACATAGTTAGGTCATGTTTGGCTCTGTGTATTCAATTAAGGATAGAGGTCTTGTGAATTAGAATGACATTGGTACATTTAGGAGCAGAGTTAGTCCGAAAGAGTCGGGCCATGCCTGCGGTCCGACCGCAGCACCCGGTGCCGGGATGGACGGCACTTGGCAGGGACGAACAGACACTCATGATGGAAGGCGATTTGGATCGATCCTTCCTTCGGAAGTTCCGTAATTTAGGGATTTTCCCTACGAATAACTGAGAGTTAAGGTATTTGGACACGCGTTTTGTAGATCTAGTACATATATAGCCACCGTGTGTTACACGTAGGCTACCACAACCGTGGACAATGTAGTGCCTGTGCACTAGAGAAGTGGCCGGTTACCCATGCAGAACACAGGCACTACAATGGAACTATAGTGGGACCTACAGTGGTCAGGCTTTGTGAAAAGGGAATATATATAACACCGGTAAAGCGATGCATCGAGAAGGTTCAAGCCTAGTGTAGCGCTGGTTGGTATCTGCTCCTGTAGTGGGCTGGCAATCTCAAGTACTCAAATTGGACCTCGATCAATATATTCGGCGGAGACAGAGCAAATAATATATTGCCAAAAATAAACTAGCTCATAGTAGACAGCAGGTAAGGATATCAGGTTAACAGCGCTTCGCAGCTACCAAGGCTCTGCAGGTGGTGCTGCAGCCGAGCGCTCAGCGGGGCATGATTTCTCTCTCTCACTCTCTCCTAAATGAGGATTAGAGCCGGGAGCGTAAATGAATGAAAGACTGTTCGTTGGAATTTATAGGCTATTTTAAGGGTTATGCCCTGGGTGGCCATGGTGGCTGTTGAGACCGGTGAACTCCGCAGTTCTCTGTTTCCTGTATGGTTGAGGTAACTTCGCGTTACATTGAATTAAGCCGCATGCTCCTGCTAATGCTGCTGCTGATTCCACCCAGGTAGTGGACAAATTACAGCAGCAGCTGGCACAGTGTTTTTTGCACGTACAGTCCAATGTTTTGCACAGGACACCAAACAATATACTAGCGAAGGTACAGCGGTGCAGGGAAGATATAGGGCAGGAACTGGCAGGGATGGGGTAGGCTTCAAGCTCTTCAAAGAGTATCTGTGAGACAAATGTTTGCAAAATCCCAGATTGACGGTGCTGATGACCGCCTGCACGGTTCAGCAATGCATTCGCCGTCTGACCTCCGTGACGTGTTAGCAGATTCCGATAAACACCGACAACAGATACACACCGACTGCAGTCATCTAGATTGCCAGCCGCGAGCAATGATACATCTATGTGCTGTCAGGGCTCGTGATTGCACCTGTCGAACTTCAACGGGGATCAAGCATCGTTTTTTGGGCCGAATCAACGAGGGCTGGACAGCGAATGGAATGGCATCGTACGTGTACTCATCCATCGCTGACTCCCAGGCGAACGTGCAAGACATTGGGCTTACCCTTCAATTACTACGCAAAAACATTGCTGGTTCTCCCAAGGGGCTTCAGGAGCAGATAAAGCTGAATTGATTGAAACGTGGAGCGGTTGTCGGCTTCAGCAGCTGCAACTGCTGGTGTTTGTATATGCCCTTCTCATTACAAACGATGTTTTCTGCGCTTGCTAGTGTACTTTTCCTAGTTGCGTAAGCATGCAATGAGGGGCAATAGCGTGAAGAGGCATAAGCGCCAAAGCTCCACCGCCCCCAAAACTGGTTTACACACATGAATAATATCGATTCCACCAATCACAGTCTGTTAGGAATTAATAAGAAACTATTGAACTCTGCTGTTAGTCGCAGAGGCCAGGGGCCGCTTTGCTCCGTGGGCCTCATGATTATGAGGCCGCGAAGTGTTGACTTGCCCACACACGCAGCACAGCTGCTTCCAGTGTTTATCCGCAGGGGCCCATCTTTTTGCAGTAGCACAAAGAGTGAATTAGTGAGTGCCTTACTACTACCACTTAAGAACCCTTTGAGCATTGTTTCTTGCTTGCACGTAGTGGTTTCTAGCATCGAATCCAAATAAAAGACGGTTCGGCGCGTTGGCGTGTGCACATCGAACAAATAATTAACAGATTTTCTCGAAAATTGTGGGTACGGACAGCTTGGAGGGGATATATAAGCCAATGTAGGATTTGGATATGTAGAACAGAAACATACGAATTCTGCCGTCCACTGGACGACTACACCGCTTGCACGCCGGAGATAACTTGTATGCTTCGCCACTCCATCAGCTAAAGCAATTCCCAGCTATCCGGATATTAATCAATAAGGAAATTTTGCATAATTACGTGCATTGAAGGTGTTTTTTGACTGGCTACTTGGATCCTTTCATGGGCCCCGCGGTCAAGCACCGGTGGCGGAACGGCGCCTGGTAGCCGCTAGTGTACCAGCATGCCACCAATGGTCCATTCGGGAGACACCGACTCCCTGTCACTTTTGAGTTTTGTTTAATTTAGTTTAAACCGGCAATAGGGACTTACTCAGGAGGGGCAGCAGAGACGGCGGCTTGCCGTCCCACGGTCCCATCTTCCCGCGATTTTTGAGTCCGCTTGAAACGCTGGCTTCTCAAGCGCTTAGTGCCAAGAGGCAGATTCACTTTCCTTCCTTCTCAGAAGCGAAAGAAACATAACTGTCCGCGGCTTGCTTCTACCTAGCAGATGCTGCGTCCAACATCCCTGCAGACGTCGATGCCTGCAGGAAGGGCCTCGTGACTAGGTGCCCCAAGGGCAGGACAGACGCAAAACTTGTCCACCATAAGTATTGATAGCCTGGGGGCAATGCATACATTCGTGAAACATCAAGTATAGGCTTCTTGGAACCGGAGCTCTCTTCCAGACCTAAGAGGCGCAACCCTGAGGGCCCAGAGGCACCATACGGGTTCACCAACTGGGCAGCAGCTTAAGAGCCTCCTGGAAGCCATATATAACTGCTTATTGCTTATTTTCACACCTTCTGAAAGTGTTGAGCAGGCTCTTCTCGCCTCCAGCCTGTGGAATGTCACATACATGAGGCTGCAATTTTAACAATGGCACTCGTCAAGCAGGGAACGGCCAAGGGCCGTAAGGTCAAGTTGGCCGATGATACCCCAGAAGGCATAAGCCTAGAGCCGGAATCAATGGAGGAGAGCATCAGGGTGTGCACGCGTATGCGGCCCCTGTTTCCCAAAGAGGTGAGGTATTTGTTATACAGGGGAGCATGAGAAACGAGCACGGTAGGAAAAGGCCCTGGAGTACTTTACCTGCCTAGCACAGAGCTGAGGGTTTCTTTAGAAGCCTTACAACAACCATTGAATCAGTATGCGATATATTGCAGGTGGAGAGTGGCCACTTGAAGGCGTGGAAAGTGGAGCAGAAGTCGATGCATTTGATAGTTGAGCCTCCAACGCAAGCAGAGATTGAAGAGAGTCGCCAGGGAAAGACGCCCTCTTCCAAAAAAGTGGTTGAAAAGACGCAGGCCCAAAAGGACCAGGTGCAACGGCACTACGCCTTTGACAGGTGCTTCGACGACGAAGGTAGGCAACGCAGGAAGTCCAGTTACCCATCGTAATTGGCGCGCCGCAGCACAGGTGGTCTACAGCAGCAATAGCCATCTGTGCATGAGATACGTTGCGTTGTAGCATATTTGGCAAGTCCTGAGATTGTACGTAATGTATGTTTATGCAGCGGAGAATGATGAGGTGTTTGCCTATGTCGCACGAGACATTGTCTTGGACGCCTTTAAGGGGATCAATGGATGCGTCTTTGCCTATGGTCAAACAGGTACCTTTTCCAGTCAAATTCCTTTGACACCGCTTTCGCCGCACTACGCGCAAACGATGGGCAGGATTCTTAGTCTCTCACCAGTACTAGCTATCTATATGCTATGAGTCCCCATTGCTCGGACTATCTATAGTGGATATTTGCGTGACCTTTGTTTGGTGGTTTTTGTAGGCTCCGGGAAAACCCATTCAATTATGGGCGTCGCAGAAGATCCTGGCATTCTGCCACGATCGCTTGCCGAATTTTTTGACTGCATGTCGGACTCGTCGTTGCTACGGGAGGAAATGGAGGATGCTGCCGCTGAGAAGGAAGAAGAGACGGGGGAAACTCAACTCGCTACAACGGAGCCCCGGACAGAGGGCCTGGAAGACGGCGAAAATCGAGTAAGCTGTGCCTCTTTTCTCATTTACTAGAGACGCTTTTGCATGGAGCAGGGACGGAACTTAACTGTTGATGGCAGCATCGAAGACTTTGATCAAAGTGACACTCGAATATGCCCGTATTCTTTGCGATTGTTGCATCAAAGGAATATCTCATGAGAGTTTCGTACGTTGAAATATACTTGGAGCGCGTTAACGACTTGCTGCAAGAAGGCCCCCGAGGAGGGGCTGTGGAGAACCTTGACGTCAAGGAAGACCCGAAAAAGGGATTTGTTGTTGTGGGGTTGCATGAGGAAGCTGTTGCCTCTATGGAAGAAGTGATGAACCTTTTGTCCAAGTGGGCCCGAACGTATTCATTGAATTGCCTCCCCACATCCAATTTATATGTGCACAACAGAAACTCTACAACCTTTCTCCACACGGGGACAAATTTAAGTCTTCTTCTGTTGCTGGATCTTTTTGGCAGTCCTTCCTGGCCTCTGGGTGAGACGTTCTCCCATCAGCCTCGCTATGTGTACCATATGTGTGTGTTTACGGGGTAGAGCTGAACAGCGGCGCCATTTCGCGAGGACGAACTTCAATGAGACTTCTTCAAGGTAAGGATATTTCTCTAACGTGACCTGCAAGTGCATTATCCAGGGTCATTCTTCAGGTGTTTCCCTGTTGCATGGGGAACACAGAAATCACTGATCCATTATTTCCCTGCTTTCTCTGGCAGGTCCCACGTAGTTTTTTCGATTACGTTGGAGTCCACAAGCACTTTCGAGGACGGCACAAACGTCAGCCGACGCGGAGAACTGAAGATAGTCGATCTGGCAGGCAATGAAAAGGCAGGCAGGGCCTCCGAAGGTGTGGAGAATGCCAAGCTTGTTCTCGAGGAGGGAAAGGCAATCAACAAGTCTCTCTTTCTTCTCTCGTATGTTTGAAAGATCTGTGAATACCTGTCATGCCTTTCTCTACGTCCAATTTTTAGTGGGTTTTTGTGCCAGTTTATAGTGCGTCAACGAGGTAGCACCCATCCCCCACTTGGGATTGCTCGGCTTTGGGTGATGCGTGTCAGGGAGGTAATATCCAAACTGTCAAAGCAAGCACAGCAGACAGACGAGAAGGGAAAAAAGAGGGGGGAAAAGGAAGTGTACATCCCTTGGCGAGACTCGAAGCTTACTCGTCTTCTCCAGGTACACTGCTACGGTCAACTCAGCATAGGCAACTTTGCCAGTGGCTCCCAATCCACATAGGGGGCCTTTGCTGCTTAAAATCTATAGAATTCTCGTGTGATGGATGCTGTTCCGGTCCCAACAGAAAGCTCTTGGAGGCAACAGCCGCGCCGCAGTGCTGGTGGCTGTCCACCCTTCAAGCCTATACTTGGACACGTCTTTTTCAACTCTACGCTTCGCAATGAAGTGCAAGGAAATCAAGAAGAAAGTCTGCGCCAACTTCTTCTCCCCAGAGCAGTCTCTCATTGCACAACAGAAGAAGCTAATTGCAATGTAAGACTGTGGTATTTCCAAATAATATTGGTAGTAATAACCCCCGCGGAACTTAGTCGAACTTGCAGTGCGGATTTTCCTTGAACGAGCTTAGAGGAAGCTTCGGACAGTTTTTGCCTGTCTAGTCACTGTAATAGCCCCTTAGATGCATGTCATTTTCAGGCTCCATGCGCAGCTGAAGGAACTTTCGGAAGGCGGAATAACTCCTGGCGTAAATTCACAGAGGAATGCAGAAAACGATGAACAAATCCGAATTCTAAAGGTACGTCGCTGGCTGCCAGACACTAGGTTAGAGAAGAGGTTAGGGATGAGATGCAACGTTTGGCATCTAGGGCCTAGTAGTGATTCGTGGGGATGCGTGGGCGCAGAGCGACTTGGAGAACAAAGTGGCAAAGTTCCAGCAGTTCATCATAAAAGCAACAGCGGCTCCAGCGCAAGCACCTTCTGGAGGGGGGCTGCAAAGGGCACGTACCATGCGGCAGTAAGTCTGCTGCTACGTTGACGTCGTGTCGCTTAGGTGTCTTTGCAATTAGCAAGCTCTTCAGTGTGTGTCACCGAATATTCCTGGGCTGCACAGGGCTTGATACATTTTCGAGAACGATGCAGTCTGTTGAAGAGGCTTGATATGTTATCCAAGAGGGTTTTTGTAGATGCATTGAGTTCAGTGGACCCTGCAAGTTGCTGTGTATTTTCATACTCAGGCCGTCTACATTTCGAAGGATGGATACCCTGGCGGCTGCGCGCTATGGATTGCGGGACATCGATGGATTGAACCAAGCTGACTCAGAAGACCCTGCTGTGAGGGCATCAATGACTCACGCATTGAGCTTGTTGGATCGTTTTGGCCAGGATGTCAAGAGCGATGTAAGGCAACGACTTCATTCTGAGGATTTTTGCCACACTCCTAAGGCACCCAGGCGTGAGCTAGAGTGTCTTGTCCCCTACCTGCAGTGGTTCTGATGTGTTCGTGTGTTAAAGGCATATGGAAGTTTCCAATCGATGTCAAGTGGAGAAGCCTCTGGTGGAGCGGTTCTGAGGTTTGAGACCCTTGAGCATTCGATTGAGGGGGCAATACAAGAGCTAGAATGTATAGATGACAATCCCCCTTCTGCAGGTGAAGAGTCTCTGACTTGTGAAGATTCGTCTGCGAGTGACATATCTGATCATGAAGCACCCCTAGAAGCTCACATGGAGGACGGCGACTTACGGGAGGAGCATCAAGATGCAGGGAGTAATGATCGCAAGCTGAAACAGCCCAAAGGCGCAGCCGCATCTCCAAAAACAAAGGTCACGCGGGGCAAAGGGGAGAAAAAGCAGAAATCGAAGACTGTAAAGATTTCTAAAAGGGCAAAGCCATCCCCTCCTGCCAAGGAACCCAGTGACGTATCCAACGATCAGCCTCAAGTCACGCTTACGCCAGAAGAACCTGTGGAGCAGGAGCGCGATACAAGTGAATCGCGGAAAATCAAGGCCTTAGTCCTTAAGCAAAAGGCAGAGAGGGAGAACTGGGCTGCGAGGCTCAGGAAGGCAAAAGAAATGGGCCTAGAAGTTATATCAAAGGTTCTTTTGTGAGTCAAATAGTTTCGAAAATAGATTTGGCACCGCTGCGTAGCTGGATCATGTTCTCCGAGAGGACTTCTTAAGCGACTGCAAAATGTATGCGCGCATGCATATGCATGGAATACCCGAGCCATCTGTTAGTGAGTGCTTTTGTTTTCGTATATCGTGTGTCTCAGCCGCATGCAAGACGAAAAGGAAGCACTTGTCAAATCGAAGAAGCGCACCGCAGAATTGATGAGCCAGATTCGTCACATATGTGCATTAATGCATCGGTTAGGGCTTTCAGTGCTCAGTACTGCTTCCGCCCCAGGAAAAGGACAGAACAATGAGTTGCCTGCTCGAGATCAAGACAGCGAGTCGCTCAAGAGCTTCCTTGATCGTGTTAAGGAGATGCGGGATGCGGAGCCATTAAAGCTTTCTCAAGGCATTGGAGACCCCGTGGGACAGGCGGCGAAGGCACAAGGCTTCCCTGACATTGACCAAATCCGCCCTTTGGCATGCGCTGCAATTAATAATGCCTTGTCGTAAGTCTGTTTATTTGGCGCACGTGGCTCAATACGCAGCACGGGGGCCAGATGCCCCCAACCCTACCCCGCCATCCCCCCGAATAATGGGACTCCATTGTCAGTGTTCCTCCATCGTTGAACAAGAAATTGAGCACCGAGCAACCAAAGCTCATTCGTCATAGCTGCTCTGTGTGCCCTTCTCACAGACGAGTCATGCTTGCCGAAGTATTAGAAAATACCAGAGAGAGCGGGGAAATTCAACAAACGGGGGGCGAGCAGCCGCCTCTTATGGCTTTAGCTGCTTCTGTTGTATCTTCAGGGACATCTGCTCCAAATGATGAAGTGCGGCCTCCCTCTGAGCTTTTATGCTTTACGAAACGTTAAATGTGTTGTTGCGGCCTGTCTCATAACCCAATCAGCCAGTAGTTGTGTTCTACCCGCCGCACATGTACTTTGTTTACGAATTTTGGTTCAGGCAACCACCCCAAAGGTACCCGAAAACGAAGAGGAGGCGGTCAGTGCTCTGGAACTGATTTTTACTAAGGTTGCTCCCACTGAGAGTAGCATGGCAACAGTTGACGCAGAAACAGCTGAGGTGAGTCCCCGTCTAAATCATGGGGAGTTGTCTTCGTTCCCGGCAACTTTGCAGGGGCTCGTGCGAGTAGACGAGGTTCACATATTGTTATGTGCCTGCGTTCGCTGCGTCCCAGATGGTGGAGGGGAAAAAAGAGCAAACACTTGAATCCATCCTGCAAATTCTTCCTCCTTGGGAGCAGCATATGCTTGCACTCCTGTACGAGCAGCAAGAAATGAGGAGGGCTCTAGGCCAACTTAGAGACCACTTCGTCCAGCGCCTCAAGGAAATCCAAATATCGGTCAAGAAGGGGCTGGTATGTGCCAAATCGGAGACTTGTATGCGCTGTATCATTTAAAGCTTTTCTGATTAACATAGGGCATCCAAAGATATTTCTGAACGTTCATGATTCGTTTATGGTGTATGAGCAGCTAGAAAAGCTTGAGCTCACCGAGCACTGCGACAGAATGTTGGCTGCCCTATGGAGCTTTAAGGCAGAGCTCACTGACTCGAAGTCACCGAACCGCGTCGACGAAGACACGAATGCAAAGTTCGCAAAGCTGATGGCCAAACTTGAGGAACTGTCGATCCGCCTTGCTGAAAGGGACATAGACTACAAGTTGCTCTCTGGTACGGAAGACCCCTGCCGGATTTACACTTAAATCGATACAGTGCAGTCCTTTACTTAAGCTGACAACTGTAATAGTGTATATCCGCCCATGTAACAAAACTCTGGCGAGAACGCCCATATCAATACTTGCAGCATTATACATGCCCGAGCACTCGACTGGTGGCTCATCTTTTGTTTATTTGAACAGAGGATTACTTGGCCATCAAGCAAGAGAACGCAACACTGCAAGAGACCACACGGAGGCTTAAGGAGGAGAACAATAGCCTACTTATGATACCAAAGACAATGACAAATTGGGAAGAGCTTAAGGGCTACGATGATGTGGTATGACACATTTGTAGGTCCAGGTCATAGACGAAAACGTATGGAACGCGATGACTGGGAGGACACTGATCCCATAAATCACTTATACAATTACGTTTTCTGTACAGGAGAAGAAGGCTTTGGCAAGAGACGTTCAGATGCTGCAGGGCTATGCGTCCCATTTGCGCATGAAGCTGGAAGAAGGCCGTGCTGTTGAGCTTGATGTGAGGCGGCTGAACCAGGCACTCTACGTGGAGTTACTTGCTGCAAACACAGCCATCGCGGATTTGCAGGATCAGGTCAAGTTCTATACAAGCGTAGACAGACGGGAAGCGACGCTCCTAGAGGTCAGTAATACAGCTGTGACAGACGGTTCCAGAGTTTACTTTTCCTATTTGTCGGAATAGCTGGCATGCTCCTGGGGCAATTGCAAATCATCTGACACGTTTGCACTTTTCCAGGAGCAACTAGCTGCGGCGAATCAAGCAGAGGCGGAGAAAAGCGATAAAATAAGGGACCTGGAGGAGGAAGTTGCTAGCCTAAAAGCCCAGCTTGCAGCAGCGCTTTCTAAACCAGAACCTGAGGAACCCGAAGTTGAATCGCCGGCTGAACCCATTGAGGGGCCGGCTGAAACCGAACAGCAGCCACCTACCCGCCGTTCCGTGAAGAAGAGCTCGCTCACAACAAACGCCAAGGCAAAGCCAAAAGCTACTTCTAGAGGTGAATCTCCATTTTGGTTATCTATTTGTGCAATTCTATCAGTGGGAACTAAGAGCAATACAAGAGCATGTAGAGACAGAGCTTCTGTAGCAGAGCTCGTTTCTGTTACAGCGTCACAAACTGCGTATTAGGTCCACTGACACATTATGACGCTTATTACGGGGGCACACTGTGCTGTTTCGTTGCTCCTTTCAGCTCCTACCATGGCCTTGTCTCATGCTGCTGCCGTTTCACCGGCAAAACAAAAGCCCTTAGCAAAGCGCAGCACTGCGGCTACAGCTTCTGTAGATAGGGGGTCTATAAAGCGTGTGACACGTGCCCCATCAAGAGCAAGTATCTCGAAGTCAGAAAAGCCTACTTCTGCTAAGGGTGGGGAGGGCTCCAGACTCGTCAGGGTTGTTGAACCAGAAGGCCATTCCAGCCCATCACCTAGTCCGAAGGCTACTTCCTCTTTAAAGCCCCCAGCGTCTCCTAAAAAGAGAGTTTCAATCAGTCTTCCAGAGGACGACCCCCCCGCCTCATCAGATGGTAATAGGCCATCCGCTGAAGCACAGATGAATGTAACAGGACGGGCTCCAGCCTTCACAGGTGACCCGCGCAACAAGGGACTAGCCAACATGGTGGCTGCTTTAAGTGGGCGAAGGCGAAAGGGTGGCGGTGTTTAGAAGAGAGACAGACCCTACGCTTGCCAATCGCAAAAGCATGTTTTCTGGTGAACTCCTACCTTTGGGTTCCTGCGTACTGTTAGTTCCGATGGAACGTTTTTGAACGTTGAGGGTGGTCACTCACATGAAGCCTGTTAAATTACCAAGCAATCCATCTGAAACGTCAAGACCGTTACTGTTCAGTCACTCTTTGAAGGGCACCGCCGCACTGTAAAAGGCGATTCTCAGCCGGTTCAGGGCCGCCCTAATCGGCAAGATATCCCCCCTCCCCGTTTTGCGTGAGATACAAAGCACGCGAGCGTTGCCGGGTGTTCTCAAGAGGTCGTCTTTGATGATCAGCTGATGGGGGATCCCCACGAGATCCGCATGCGACTGCATTTGGCGAAGCGTGAGGCCTTGTCGATCGTCGAATAAAATATCCGCAGGTCCCCCTGCTTCTGCTGCAGTCTTCTGCAGCAATCGGAACACTGCCTGCCCTAGACGGGCCACACGCCGGCCATCATTCCAGCGTGCGGCAGGCTGCGGCAGAATTGCAGCACAAAACGGTGCTACTTGGGGTGGAAACAACAAGCCTTTTGAGTCTTGATGCACTAATGCTAAGTGAGCAAGAAGCCGGGAAACTCCAAGTCCATAGCTGTTCATCAAAGGCACCCTCAGTGCACCCCGGGAATCCGTGAAACGGGTTCGCGCCGCTTTGCAGTATGTGTCGGGTAGCTGAAAGCAGTGCCCGACCTCCAAAGTCGAGCTATTTTGGTGGTATTCCATATCTTCTGCGGAAGCATCTTTTTTGCTTTCATTCAGCGGTCCTACTCCCGATACTATCCGATCACTTCCGAGAATGCTGCTCACCTAAAGAAATCGCAAAACAAGCAATGTCAAAGGAAAGCACTGTGTGTTGCCACCATTGTGAAGTCTCAGCAAGGCACAGATAAGGCCTTCTGAGCGGATTATTGCTAGAGTACTTGCAGTTCCAGTCCTCTAGTAGCTGCATGGTTTCTCACATGATATTCGTGGCTGCAAGGGCCCCCCATTGTACCGGGGTCGGCCTGGAATCTGTAAACTGGCCCTGCCCCGACCCGTGTAAGTATCCGCCGGAAACATTCGTCCATCTTCCGGTATGAACTCTCTCTGCATACTGCATCTTGGTGAAAAGAATATGCTTCTAGCATGATAAATTCACGAGAGCGGAGGCAACCCGCCCGTGGGCGGGCTTCATCTCGGAATTTCGGACCTATCTGGTAGAAAACCTGCGGCAGCTCCCTATGACTTCGGACGCCACTTGCCGCTAGCCACGCAGCTGCTTCCTCCGAAGTTGGGGGCAAGAAAAACTGCCGGCTCCGACGATCTTGCACCTTGTAGAGAGACTGCCCAAACGAGCGTATCCGCTGCGGAAAACAGTCACAGGATAATTGTCGTTTCTTGAATGCATATTTACCATTGAATTTGCCGCCCGGAAGGGAAGCAAGTGATCGTGTCAATTGGGGATCTACTATCAGCAAGTGATTAGTAAATATCTGGGCGCCCGACACTTCAGTAGTAAGCTACCAGCAAGAGTAGGTCGTACCTCTGAATTCTCCAACCACTGCATCGGCATGATGTTAGGAAGAGATAGAGGTGAGGCAGTCCCTGCAAGTTCTTGGTGGCATACAGTCTCAATCTTCTTCAGCACACGAAATCCCAACGGTAAAATGCAAAACAAGCCAGAAGACGTAGCCTGAACCAGACGGGCTTTCTCGAGAATCTGTCCAGAAAGCGTAGCTGCAATGCTCCTGCTAGTGCGAGCCTCTGAGACACTAGGCGACTCGCTCCTGCCTTCTATATCCAGTGGCGCTGAACTGTGTTGGGGCTCTGAAGCGGTGTTGGATGTCAACTCCCCGACACATGCATCCTCTGCATCGAGAGAAAGGCCCTCGTCATCGGGATCCGTCCCGTAACCAAATTCCATATGTACACTGCCGGGCATCATCAAGCGGCTCGCAAAACCGCCGCGAGGCAAACCGCCGCAGAGGTATTCCGCGTCGGCAAAACCCTTGTCCCGTGGGGGTGAGAAAGCGGAAACACTGCCGCAAAAGCTCCGTTTGCATATGATGGCTCCAGATGCAGGAGATGTCAGTGTCGCCCTTAGATGACGCTCAACAGTCAGGTGGGGTTCAACACGGAGACGGCGAGCATTGTTCATGAGAAACGCGACAGAGGGCACGTTATTCCCACATCCAACTGCAACGGAAGCCTCCGAATCCTGTTGATGCAGAAGCTGAGGTTCATCTGCAGGAGGAATGCAGTGGAGGAAAGAGTATTGCGCAGAACGCAAAAGAGGATTCAGCACTGCGGCGTTAGTTAACGGGGAGTAGTTTGCGGTGATGGAATGCCCCAATGCCCCTACAATATGGGACAAGAAGGTGAATTTAATCCATGGCAAACACTTAAAGGGGAAAAACGACGACCGACAATTGGATGCGTTCGCCATCTTTCCACTATGGTGTTTTGAAGGTGACCATTGCGAAATCCCATGGTAGACGGGGGTTAAAAAAGGCTCACATACCAAAGTCCAAAGAAGATTGTGCAGGTCAGACTCTGGGTACGCTCTAATACTGTACTTCTAGGGCCTAATTCGAGTAATCCACATGTCACAGGAAAAACATCGTGCAACTGCCCCTCTGCACAGGGGAGAAAACTTGCAGAATGCCGGGCCAAAACACATTCTGTGGAGATGTTTAAATTCTAACTAGTAAACTTTTCTTGAAAAAAGGTTGACAAAAGACTGACGTAGAGCTCAAGTGAGAAAATTTTGAGCAGCCTCTGGAGGTTTTCTATGCCACCTGCTCTGGTCGAATGCGAGCGGCGACCGCATGCAGCCGACCACGTTCGAGAGAGGGATCAACATTGGGGGAAGTTGTCATGAGGTTATTACATTCGTGTTGATTGTTCCTACAACGTTGTTGTTGTGTTCCCTCTAATAAGGCCAGTGCCGAGCGAACGGAGCGCATTTGTTGTTGGGTTGCCGCTTCCACAAGTGTATGCGCATGAAGAAAACAGATTCTCTGCGAACAAATGCCCACAAAGGCAAGACGAGTAGCCTTCTTTCATCTCGATTTGGGCGTTGGTGGTGCAGAGCAACTTGTTCTACAGACTGCTCTTCAGACACACGCAGTCTTTGAGGAGTCATGGCGCTTGCCGTGTACAGTTGATGTCTTCACCTCTTACTTCGATACGGACAGATGTCTCGAAGCATCAAGAGACCGTGAGGACCACCAGAATGCCAGTAGTCTATTCTTACCCTTCAGATGGACCGGGGCGGCTAACGAAGGCCGGACAAGTTGTCGCTACATAATCCGCCCGCGTCGAGCGTATGCTGGTGGCGTTGAGGGGGGGCAGGGGACCACAACGAACCTCTTTTCTCATATATTGTAGAACTGCTTGTCGCATTTTTGGAACCATAACCCACAGTCATTAATCGTGAAGCTTGTGTGCCCTGTTCAGCGAGGCTAAACATACGGGTCTTCGGATCGTTTTTGCCGCATGCCATTTTGGGGAGGTTTCGCGTTGCGTGCTCGATCGTGCGTATGCTGTATCTTGTCCTTGCCGTCATAGTCACAGGTGGGTGTAGGAGTGCGGCTCACGCTCTGTTAAAGAACCACCGGGAAAGCAGCAATACCGTATTGTGTCTCATGGTTACTAGGAGGACCCTATGTATATAACCCTACATCGAAAAGATTCTTTGCACTACATTTTGTATTAAAGCACATTTGACCCCAAGGTAACACGTAACCGAAAGGTCCACCGTTCGTCTCTTTCCACCAGCATCCCTCCTAAATAATAATCTACGGGCCATCACAGCCTCATGCAAAGTACTTACTTCTTGCTCTACAGGGCATATGGGGTATGACCTTGTCTTTAATGACCAGGTGGCAGTAGTGAATCCACTTCTCCGCTTGATTGGTAGGAAGGTGAGTATATGGCGCTGCTGGAGCTCCCTCTTGCGTACAGCGAGAATGTCACGTAGTTGCTATAAGGGTTTTAGGTATCCTACCTATTTGGTAATGAGGGTACAAACGGAGCTACGCGCAGCAAGATTGATGTTTTCGTTGATAACTACTTTGTGCACCAGGTCATTTTCTACGGCCATTTCCCTGACCTCTTACTCGCGCGCCGCCACCCATCGCTTCTGCGCCGCGTGTACCGTTACCCCTTTGACAAGCTCGAGTCTTGGACCACTGGTAACCTTACAAAAAACTGTGCGTGCCCCTCTGATTCCAGAGTGTACTTCGGGCCACATAAATTTGTTTTTGCTTCAGGAACTATCGCTTCCACAATATGAACAGTCTGTGTGCATGTGAAGACGAGGCTACCTGTGGGAAATAAAATGCGTAGTTACTACGTACATTAAAGTGTGGACAGTGTATTGAAGCGCAAATGAGTGGATTGACGTTTTGCTTCACAGTGTTAAGAGTCTAGATATTTCAACTGTGTAAGAATATATGAAACGCATATTCGGGCATTAGCCGACGAACATTTATGCTGTATTTGGACTACCTTTCAACTTCGGCATCAACTGGCTGGTTTCGGCATCTCATGATATACCAATGGTGCACTCATGGGCCTCCGCAGTGGTGTTGGAGGTGTATTTCGGCGCCGCCAAGGATTGTCGTACACCACTGTGGTGCCGACTGACCGTGCAGGAATGTGTGATATGGTGTTGGTCAACTCCAAATTCACTGCAGAAGCATTCTCTCAAACATTTTCATCATTTAGGTGCGCATGCCAGGGAGTACCCATTTCACCATAGATGCGCATCAGACACCTTCAACTGGTGTCGGCTTCGGAATGTACTTAAGGTTGTCGAAATGTTTGATTCTGTTGTAATTTCTTGTCATGCAGGAAGGCCAAGCCCCGAGTCTTGTATCCTCCGGTCAGTAAGGAGGTGGAGGCCTTCCAGCTGCGCAGCGTTAGTGGCAATGTCGATGCTTCGTTCAGCCAGCTAGAAGGGTAGGGACATGGGCCCGGGGGAGCACGAATTATTAAGGTTTTCTGTATTTGGCACTGCCACTTTTTATCTGCTTGTCAGCAAGCCTTTATAGCAAACCAGGTGCTCTGCAGAAGCAGTTCGTTCATCATGCATTTTCTCATTTGCCGCAGATTCGATCTGTCAGTACCATTCGCGACGTCGCTAAACCGATTCGAAGAAAACAAGAACGTCGAGCTTGCAATAAGAGCCGTGGCAAGTCTTCCGGGGCACATTAAATGCAACTTGGTTATAGCAGGTGACTTAACCCTTTACAGACAGTTGAAGCAGCTTCGGTTTATTGATACTTCATGTGCATTTTCTTGTTAGTAGATCGAAACGATACCAACAATAAGGGAGTGTCGGTTACACTAGCGGTCTCTCATCGGGGTCTGAATAGGTTTCAAGCATGAAAAGCGGAATCTCATGATGGGATGGAGCTCCTGTACTGTGTAGGAGGTTTCGATCCGCGTTTACCGGAATGCAAATCGTATTTCCACCGGCTATTGAAGCTCTCTATGGAGCTCAATTTTCGCGTTCTTGGTTGTGAAGATGCCGTAGACGCCAACGCAGCGGTCCGAGACGAAAGGCTCGGAGGAGGACGGTGTATTCTGTTCCTAAAGAATGTACCATTGTCGTTAAAGCTATTCTTATTCAAACGGAGTGTGTGCATACTTTACACCCCTCGTGATGAGCACTTTGGCATTGTGAGTAATACAAACCCTGCAGCGTACTCCCCGTGAAGGGAAGTGCAAGGGTCCCACGGCCGTGCAACTTTTTTCTAGCATTTGGGCGTGGCTGGGCCTTTGTGCAGTGTTCAGTATAGCATTGCTTCGACCAGAACGCGTCTAGTGTGCAGTTGCATGTAACTATTGTTGGAATTCTGTCTCAGGTGCCTTGTGAAGCAATGTTCGTCGGTATTCTTCCCGTGGCTTGCAATACAGGTGGACCCCGAGAAACCATCGTCGATGGAGTTACAGTAAGTAGGACCCCTCGAGGAGGGTTAGCTGCTTCGTGTCGCATTTTATATCGCAACACCTGGGAATGTGAGAGCGAATATGCACATCCACGCCAGCAAACAAGTGACCGTACAAAGGAAGCTGGATAGGTTCCCACATAAACGTTTTGTTGCGCGCAGGGCTTCCTCTGCACTCCAACACCAGAGTGCTTCTCTGCTACTCTTGAACGCATTTTGTTGCTGTCATCGCAAAATCCCGAAGAGCTGGCGGTAAGCGAACTAGTGTCCGGGGCTACGTGCCACCGTTACTAACTGTGTGCCACGGTTGCGTGCCACCGTGCCCATGTAGCTGCTATCGATGGACACTAAACTGCTGGGAACTGCGCTTCGCTCTCATTCCTTCAGGCCATGTGCTCAAACGCTCAGGCGCATGCAGCAAGAACATTTTCACCAGGTATGTGGATGCTCAAGTTTTCCTTTTTCCCCTCCCTTTCATGCGCCGGCTGCGCAGGTACACGGTGGACCATTCTAACAATTTGGCTTATACGTTTGGTTCTCTGCAGATGTATTCCGCCGGTCCCTTAAAGCCATTATTGCAGACGTCACAGGGATTTGTGATAACAACTGTGTGGAACATTCCCAGGAACTCGCACAGCGGGTGTGCACGGCTCGCAGGAAACGGCGCGTTGCCTAGCGTTAGTTAGACGCAGTGCCCCAACGGCGGGGACACAACTTCCGCTAATTAAAAACAACCTCGTAAACCAACAAGTGCAATGATTTATGCACGTATGTTCACGACTTCGATTGTGCTGTAGGGTCGGTTCCCGAGAAGGCATCCATTAAGTAGTTCTGGGGAGAACTCAGAATGGGCAGATTATTCTCATCTTTCCCTCGTACACTACCTAGCCGGAAAACTCAGGGGTTCAGTGCTTGAGTAGTTTGGGCGCTTCAAAATGTGTCCCCAAGGACCTGGTTAGCATATGCGCTCTACAGGAGCACATATGGCAAGGATGCTGGGTGCTCATGGTACACTGTACATAGAACCACAGCTTTACCACCAGCCTGCTGTGAATACTGTTGTACAAAAAAAAGTCGTAATCTACTCTGCAAGCCCTCGTACACCCAGCAGCAAATTTTGGAAGCCCAGAGCAGCGTTTCATTCGTGCAGCAGAGTGGCACCCAGCCAATGCATATAGCGCATCCGATGCAACATGCCGCCTTCTCAGATGCACCACGATGCAACTTCAACTTGCGCAAACGTGCATAAGAGCACAAACATTGACCCCCTAGAACAAATCATACGTCGCCCGCATATCACTGACTGCCTTGGATAAAACTGGCTCGGCTTCCACTAGCACATGCTGTCCGCTATGCACAGCTTCAAGCCATTCATATAATTTCGTCATAACTTCTTGTGGTACTTTTCGTCCTGGCTCTCCTGTCTCTGAACTCCCCACTACAGGAGCCCCGCTCTCTGGTGCTGCAGACTGCTTGTCAGGCAGCTGGTGTGCAGGTTCAGATGTAGGTCCTTCGCCCTTTGTGAGGTATGTACGGACTCCCTCAATTTCCCTTTTAAACCTTGAATCAGGGAGGAGTTTCTGGATGCCCATCTGCATCTCCTCCAGTGCGCTGTTCAATCGGGAAGTCGCCTGGCTGTCGGACAGCGGACGCTGCAAAGCGTCTAGGGCATGGTTTATACCTTTTACAGAGGCCGCCAACTTGTCGGTCACCTCCAAAAGGGATGTAATTATTTTAGCCATCTCTTCCTGGTCTGAAATACTCGGGTCATTAAGCAGCCTTACGGCAGCATTCTTCTTCTCAAGTGCTTCTGTTATGGCGCTGGTAAGGTCTGCCGAAAGCTTCTTCAAAACGGACTGCAGGACCGAACTGCTGTCCACAGTAGTACTGTATTGCGTCTCATGAATATCATATAAGTCCTCTGATTCGACGTGAACTTGAGCTGCGGCTTCTCGGCCGCCTGCTTTCTTCTTCGACACAAACGGTGAGTCCTCCCTTGCATTCCATACAACAAGCAACGCGGCAGCCGCTATAGACATGACCAGGAGAATCCCTGGAGGCAAAATGAACTGGAACCCACGACTGAGACGGCTAGCCTCGGTGGACCACTCAACCAGAATAAATGGCTCTTCGTTCAGCTCCAGTGGAATGTCATAAGTCTTACTCGGCTTTTCTGCCACATACTCTACTGCCGGATAGGCAGCAGCCCCGAGCCTTTCTTCCCAGTCTTCACCCACAGTCTCGCGTAGAAGGAACAAGATTGTTGCCGCGTAGAGCAGCGTTAGCCAGCGAAGCTGCGATGCAAATCTTCTAAGTGTCATTTCCCCACTCACGCAGTGCACTTGCATTGCCCTGGGCCATTTGGTCCCCCGATTCTTACATTAAAGCTTCACCTTCTTCTGCTAGTTCAAATGCGACAGTTGATGGAGCATCCCAGCGTTCATCTGCTGCACAAGAGATGTCAAGCGAATCTCTCGAAGGGTTGCATGGCCGTCGAGGCTGCGATGACTAGCTTCCCGAAGCTGTGGAGCCGAGCCATGCAGCTAAAGCTGTCACTCCTGCCAAAACTACAAAAAAGGAGAAGGGTTATTCTATTCCGATGAGCCAAAGTGAGTTTATACTGTGGAAAGCCCCATGCGGTCGTAGGCCAACCTATCAGCCCCGTGGCTCGTAAGGGGGTCGCTTCAGAAACCACCATTTACACACAGAGCACCACTTGCCGCTGCAGTTGGAACTATTAAGTAATTCGTGTTGAAGTTAATGAGGTTCCTGTCGAAGCGGCTCCTCCTTAATTGCCCCTACAGTAAGAATCCCCGGGTCTCGCCTGCCGGTCCAGACCTACCCGTGAACATTGTCTGTCCCCAGTCCTTGCTGAGGAATGGTTTCCCCTTTATTTTGAATGCTACGGAGAGGGGGAATTGCCTGTAAATGAGCTGTGTGATCGAAGAGACCGACTCACTTACGGCCGTTGTGAGCAAACAAGGAGAATGTTTCGCATTGTGTACAAGTAGACGTCACACAGCCTGCATATGCCACACATTCTAATCCACCAACAAACCGTTTCCTGTGGTTTCTTCCCATATGGGGCAACACGCTGCACTTAAATCTTTGCATGCCGGTGAAGACCACCTCAATGGAGTTGGGCTCAGCTGTCAGTTCAGTGCTTGTCAGCCCCTTGGCAGTTGATGATGTTTTTCGTCATCGTACCGTCCCTGAGGTGCAGGAGCTGCTCCGGCAGCTCCAGCTGCAGCAGGCGAACGACGTGGAGGAGTTGCGGTCCTTAATCGGAGTCCGTTACCTGTCGTTTCTCGAAGGTCTACCAGAGATTACCCGCATGCAGCAATCAGCTCAAGAGGCTTTAAGTGATGCCCAAGCTTTTGGCTCTGCGCTACGTCACCTTGCAGATGCTTTAGGCGGTGCTGCTCCCGAAGGCCGCCAGCAGAACTCAACTGAACCCCAGCAGTTGCGGTTACAGGTGGAGTTGCCGCTACAGAATAGCACACCGCTAGATGACTTTCTCTTCTCCTGCGAAGTTGATGCCTCGACACTTCCGATTTATTTTCCTCCCCATAAAGATCTGAGAAATGAAGTAGCTTCCCAACACGAGGTTTACTCCTGCTTGCAGGAGAGAGAAGGTGTGCTCCGTGGGGGCTGCAGGTCATTTCGATACTTGCAGCAGCAGCTCTTATTGATGCCCTCTCGAGTTTGGGAGGCTGTCAGATGCCAAAAGTTCCTTGAGGCACTCCGCCTTATCTGCGTTGATGGGACAAAAAACGCGTCTTTTGCAATGGCTGCGGTTCGTGAACTGCAGCAGCAGCAGAGACTGAAGCCGGCCCAGCCGTATTTGGAACGGCAGCTTTCAGGTTGTTGGGCGTTGGCCCAGCAGACGACTCGCATCTCACCTTCTCTCACTGTCTCATTGCGTGCCCTTGCACTTCGTCAGTTGGCGTCTCCTGAATTACCATTGCCAGTGGTAGCCGATGTGGCCGCTGCAGCCACGATCATATACCTGTTAGAAAACAAGCCTTCTGTAGGAGAGGCATGTGAGGAAGCAGAGAAAGTGGTGAAGGATGCAGCAGCAAAGTGGCTGCTTGGAGTTTTCTTTTCAGCGCGTGTAGAGTCTCTAGAGGCCATCTTGGCGAAGAGGAAGAAAGCTGGGAAGATAAGCGCAGTGACTTCACCGGCCCCTGCTTGTCACGAACGAAGTAACTCTAACTGTAGCTCAAATACGATACAGGCAGCAGTTGATGCAGCTGAGGCCATGTTGGTGGCTTTCTCAACATCTTTACAGGCAGCGCATTTCCTTTTCTCTCCCCTATCAGCGAACAGCCGTCCTCTGGGGGCCAGTGACATTTCCAACGTAGGCGCGCCAGCCTCTTCTGAAATGGCAAACACCTTCGCAGCGACGCTTGCCGCGGAGGGTGCATTTTGCGATGTCAGCGATATTGACTCTCTCGGTATCTCATGGGCACTTCGGGCGCTTCCGGGAGTCTTTGCTGTGTTTGCTGCCCAAACCTGTTGCAGTAACGGCAACAACACGGCGTGGGACCGCTACCCTTGCTGCTGCGAGAACAAGAGTGCATTGTGCCCTAGAGCGCGAGTGGCCGCCTTTATTGAGCAGTGGACCAGCCCTTTAAGGGAGCAACTATCTCTTCTCCCTGCAGAGGACCCTCGGCGAAATCTCGGAGACATCCGCTTCTTTTGGTTGCGGGTAGGCTGTCACACCCGCCGTCCTCTCCAGAGGAAGGCATGTAAAGGGACAGTACCCGAGTGAATAGCGTGCTCTTACCTGTCAATGCGTATCTGCTTCAGCTTATGGAAAAGCTTAAAGGACGCGGGACACAATGGCAATTTCCCACAGGGCCGCTGTTTTTGGTCGGCAAAGTTCCTCCTGACCATTCCCCCATTTCCAGTACATCTTCGCAAGAACAAGACTGGACAATTTCTGACAAAACTGCCTGCCACTCCACTTTGGCTCTATTGGGCGCCGTTGGGGAGTCTTGCATCAACGCCTGCATTCGCGTCACAGAGAGACGTGTGAGAGCGTTGCCGCTGCTCAGCTGCAACGCAATAAAGGACGGTACGGAACGAAGGAATCATTGTCCAATACCAACTCATTGAGCAGTGGTAATGTCGATATGTGTCTGTATGGGCTGTTGTGAGTGGATGTCCTTTTAACACTCAGGGATCTCTGGGACAGCTACGTCGTTGCAGGAGAAAGACAATTGTTACACACGTGCCTTCGAGAAAGAACTGTGGTATCATTTGGTAGATATCGCTGACCTGTGCGGTAGAGCGGAAGACCCACAGGAACTCCGAGCTGCTCTACAACTGCGCGCAGCCATTGCTGCCTCATTTTTACAGTCTCTGGCGGAATGTACGACTCCCGTGGCAGAGAGGGCGCGCGCGACTGTGGCAGCCAGTGTTGATACTCAGCGAAGCGGGGGGTACATGGCAGATAAAGATGCATTCTCAGCACTTGTCTTGGACACTCGGAAGGTAGAGTGGCTGTTTGTTGCTTATCGCGAAGCAGAGACCATTACGCTCCATGTAAGCACCCCTCGTGATTTCTCTCCTGTGACGTAGAAGAGGAGAAAAATCAAACCCCCGAAACTATAGACCGCAGATACGTGGCTACGATATTGTGGTAGGTAAACTATTTGCATTGCGACTTGGTACGAGCTGTTTTTGCAGGAAAACGCCGTGCCATCTAATGTGACGAGTGCCTGCGGGCAAGCACTAGAGGTACGTATCATGAAGTGGGCAAAGCTGTTACATGCATATGCTTTACCAGTAATCTGTGGGCTTCACACGCGCACTACATCTATTCGCAGAGGTGTTTGGAATATCTTGGATCCAGATGTTATTTCTACCGTTTAGGACTCGAGGGGGGCTGACTGCCGACGGCGACTCTCCCGTTTCCTTGCTGAATGGATAGCTTCGGACTCTCATTACCAACATGCCCCGGAAGGGCCTTTTGTAAAACCCAACAACGGAGACAGGGCAGAGGAGGACAACTCCGAAGCCTTCCGAGCTGTTGCCGTCGCCAGAGCTGCCGCAAGGTCGCTCTTCCCTAAGCTCTGCTTCTCATCTTTTGTTGGCTACACTGTCGGCTTTTGGCCGTTTGTGAGGACCTCAGCGGCAAAGTTGCAAAAATCATGGAAGTGTCACGGAAAAGCCGCAGCTACACCTGCTTTTGACGGTGAGTTTCTGGCATTCCCATCTTTGTCAAATTCCATCCCGGCAGCGTTCTCCTTGAGCTTCAATGAGATAGAATTATTTTGGCGTGTGTCCGTTGGTCATGTGGTACACTGCTTAGCAAAGTTCGGTTGTCGCTGATGTCGTCTCAGGCGTAGGATCTGCTATCGACATATCGGGGGGAGCAATGTCTTTCTTGCTCGAGCTCAGTCGGCACCTGACATCTGTGTTACGGAGCCTGAAGTGAGATATTGCACTACTGGGCTTTTCGTGTTTACGTTCCTGGGTGTTGCCATGGCATTTCGGCAACTTTAATCGCCGTACAGGGTTCAGCACGCAAATTGCTGATCCCTGGGTCAATTGTGCTTAGAAAGGTAACAACAGGCTCAGCACTATGTGTATGCTGTGTGTGCATTTGCGGTGTAGAGTGGAGAGAATATCAGACTCGCCGATCTTGTCCTTTGCGATCAAAGCTGTCGCCTCAGAAGCAGTAGCTGAGTTTGCTGCAGCTGCGGTTGCTGAGACAAAGGGCCCGGTTCAGCGACAACGGGAAGGGCAGCATCTCTTACCATCGTCCCAGAGCCACTTGTTGCAGTTACTGGTCGACATTGAGCTGCTAGCTGAGGCATTAGATGAGCCGTCTCCGCAGCAGCAGGTTTGTGGGCCTGACGATGCTATTGGGACTCTACCCCAGCCACTTCAGAGGGCAATACAGGCCGGGTTGGATGGCCGGAGATGTGCCGAGTCGTTAAGGAACACAGCGGAAGAGGGAAGGAAGTTGCTCCAGCCTGACTGCGAGAAGCTATTACAGTGAGAACTTGTCGTTGTGATGCAGTAATTGCTTCTGGAACAGCTAGAAAGCAGATTTCATGTGCACATGAAATGTTCCCAGTCTAGCACTATGCTGTATGAGTTAATCGCTTCAGGCGACGATTGGATACGGGGTTTGCGGCTTCGAAATCCCTTCTTTGGGTTCTACTTAATCCAGGCGGCTCTGAATCAGGCTGCATCCCAAGTGTCGCGAGCAGCACTAGATGCGCTGACAACGCCTTTCAGCTGCCACTCCTTGAGCCGCGTGAACGGCTGTCCCTGTTGCCTGTTGCTCCGCTTCCAGGTGAGGGACAGGTTGTTTTGTGTTAAATATGGAAGCACGTGCTGTCGCGTTGGAGGATGTGAACGCCAGTCCACTGTCCAAGAAGGTGCGCAATGGCATCCCTCGTGCATGTGCGCAGCCTTCGAGTCGCTCCTGCGCTCTTCAACATACGAAGAATGTGTTGCAAGGGCTCACACGCCCGCTGCACGCAATGAAAAGGCAGAAGAGGAGCAGCAGCAAGCCCCAAAGGAGGCGCAAAAGCTACACAGACTGCGGCTTGATGATGGTATGATTTTGGCATACGGTTAATAGGATATGTAGCCCTTGCAAGCTGTCTTTGACGAATGCTTTAACTGTAGTTGGTACCTTGCCTTGCGTTTCTGGTTCCGGCGCTCACGTCTTTTAGGCAATTTTGACCCAAGGCATGTCTTTGGATTTTGCGTGTTTCTTTTGCGTATCGTGCTACTGTGCTGCAGCAGTGGATTCCGTATCCCGGGGTTTGCAGTCGTGGCTGAAGAGGGGCTCTTCTGATTCCGACGGTTCAGGCATCTTCCCGTCGAGGTCAGGAGGCGGTGCTTCCACGAGTGCAAGCAAAGGCGTCACAGCTGTTGCTGCGGCCGGTAGCGGGCTAGCAGAGGCCTGGGCTAAGCAAGTAGGGCACGTTAGTGCTCTAATCGGTCACCATGTCGAATCAGTGCAAAGAGCCTCGCACGCCGCTGGTTCTGCGCAGCGGAATGGAAAGCAAGTCTCTGCAGATCTACCAGCAAGCCAAGCTGCCGATTAGCAGCATGGCTGGCCCTTTCCCCTCAGCCTGACATTTCTGATGGCTCCTTGTGGGGTGCACCCCCAGTGAAGTGTTGTTCTCCATGCAGCCCAGAGGCTGGCACCTAGCTACACATTGGCGCCCACTAAGCAAGGCTTCGGCAAGTTGTATTTTGGTCAATGCCACTTCCTCGTCCAATGTGGACCTGGAGATGAATGGGGAAATGGGGGTAAGCAGTACACCTAACATGACTTGCTCGGCAAGAATACGCGAATGCAAACGTTCGGAAGCTTGTTAACTCCAAGCACCTAGCACTGGGCCGGAAGTCGCCACATGCTGTATGGGAGCTAGGGACTTGACAATGGCAAAGCCAAGTGGAAGGGTCAATATAAAACTAGTGCTCGAAGCTGTCAGTAGTCACTTGTCTGTACGTAGCATCCCCTGCATATCCGACTGAAGTTATTATTAGACAATTCAAGCGCCTGCATGCGCACTACTTGGCAGGCTAAGCATACACACAAACCCTATATATCTGGTTGCCCCAGACACTGCTGCTACGATAGCAGCAGCATCGGAGGGGAAGGTATGGCAAGCCCTCCAAACGGCGCGTGTTGCTTCACCAACTAGAAAAAAACGGAAGGTCTAGCAGGCTCACATCCCGAGCTTTCGGTTGGTCAGCAGCGTCCGGATTGTTGATTTCACTACAGAAGTTTTCATTGCCCGTTCTGCAGTGCTGCTGCCGGCAGAATCCGCAGATATGCTAGGCAATACCACATCCTGAAGCAGGGTGATGAATGCGTCACAAATGTCAGTCATTGGACCCAGGCAACTGAAATACGCAACAGCCGACTGCTCCCAGTCTTCACTTGCTGGCAACGGAGAAGCTGCTGCTGTGGGACAGCAAAGCAGCTCGACGCAAATCTGCAGATGCGGCAACACATTTCATTCCTCAGAAGCATGCAATTGCAGCAGACTCTGCCCTACCAATTAATCTATTAGTGCCAAGGGAGCTAGGTTATTGAAGCAGTACAAGTGAAATCACTAGATGCGTGTTCAAAATGGGTGCCAAGAAATACTTAAATCAAGCTGGTGAGCAGATTTTTCCTTCGAATCATCAAAAGGAAACGTACTTCCCGCAGGAATATCCCGATCTTCCCTGACAATCCCATTGGGCCTTGCATTTCCCCGGCGGTGTCGAAGTTCAAGAAACGGACAATTCGCAGGTCCACAACATGCTGGCGTATCTGATACTCAAACGCATAGCAAGAAGAGAGGTGGGATGTACCTGGGAAAGTTGGCTACGAATTCGGCCACATATCCTACGAAAATTGTGAATAGAGGAGTCCACCCTGTCTTACGAAGGGAGGACCCCAAGGCCACAATCCACAATCCTGGTTGCTCCTGTTGCTTCGGCTGAAACCCATGACTTACTAGGAATGCTGTGAGCTTTGCCAGGTTAAGCAATCGCCTTATGGAGAATCCGTGGGCTGCCGAGGCCTGAGCAGCCAGTCCTCTCACTATTGTACGGCGGTAGCGCGCCGCGCCTTTTTCGCGCATACGGAAACACTGGCATACAGCATTACAGTCGTTTTGTGCTGCTCGGCAACCGCAAATGCCGCAAAGGCGAGAGAGAACCACTCCGTAAAACCGGTTATAAAACTTTTCTTGCAAGCAGCATTGCATCGCGACAGCAACCGTCTGAGTTATCTGCAAAATGCACAAAGCGCAGCCTTTGCTGTCGGCCTTAGGCCGGTGGTCCGACGAAGGAGAGCTGAAGGTCTTCAGCGAAAAACTCTCTACGCTACACTCTTTGCATATTGCACTAGTTGGTTGGAAGCAAACCCACGATGGTCTTTTTCATAGACAGATAGCCAGAGTTCTGTAGCAGTTGAAGGGCGTCATCCGGGCTGTTGGCTGTTACGAAACACTCGAACAGGCTCTGTTGCAGCTCCGTGTTAAACCTGCGTGCACCCGCAATCAACGAATCGTGATATTACCCCGAAAGTGTCACAACGTCTTGAGCAATCTACAGGGGTGTATTTCGCCAATGTTCCCGGATTTCCAGGTCACCATATTAAGCCCATAAATACAAAGTGTATCCAAACTTCTTCTATTAGCTCTGTACCTCAGGAGTGCTGCCTGTTTCCTTATGCTGTTTGCCGCAGCTCCACTTGCCAATGCATCTGGAGCGCTTTCAAATCCTCCGGTATGCAACTGCTGGTGTTGCTGGAAGTGAGCCGTGGCTGCAGCTTTTGTCGATAGCTCTTGCCGTCGACCACGTTGTCCCATAGCTGTTTTAAAATTGGATTCACTTTCTTTGCACTGCAGAGGCGCGTCGTCAGATATGCTAGAAAATCGGTTTGACCCTCCCTCTGAGATTTCATTTTCCTCAGGTGCACAGTCAGATTCGGTCTCGGGCTCTTCAACACCGTCCCTCTCTGAAAAAGAGCAGAAGAAGGTTGCAGAAGTGGCAGACACAGAGTCGAACTCCACCCCAATCATTCACACGATTTCACACGTCGCCCTGGCCAATACGACTACATGGTCATCTAGCCCATACTTCTCCCTGACGGTGTCGTGCTTCTTATATTTCGGGCTCTCGCGATTCCTCACCTGCAGATTTGTCGGGATCAGAGCTTTCGCCTCTGTTTTCGTCAGAACCCTGCAAAAGAAAACGGAAATCATCCTGCATTTGCTGACGGTTCAGCGGCACCATGTAAGGCAAAAATGCATTACTTCATGAATGCTGGCAAATGTATCGAAGTAACCCGAGCAGCGAGTAAGAAGCAAAATCAACTGGAGCTCACTAAGATATTGTCCAGCACATCCTGCAGTTCTAGGTCGAAGCCGTCTGCCTCCAGCTCTTCCCTGAGTTTTCTTCTTCTCCTTTCTCGGGCATCCTTCGTTCTACTTGAGCTTCGGCTTATGCCGAGACGCCTTTCAAGTATTTTTAACTCTTCACGAAGGGGGTCGTAGCACTTCTTTTGCTCTTTTTTCTTGTCCTCTTTGAATGCCAAAGCTGCAACACCAACACTTTCGCTATCTCGTGATACTTCGTATTTGGTGTCACTATCACCATACACTCGAGGTGCCCTCGGTTCGCCGAGAAATCCATCTCTGAAGGGGCTTCCGCCTGCGCAGGGAGACATGGAAACAGCATCGAATGTTGGGCAATTCCAAGTGAACCGACAAGGTGGCAGCAATGAATGCTTGTCATTGAGCTTCATGCTGGAGGCAGTCCTGCTCCCCATACATGCCTACAGGGAACACAGTTTCTGCAATCGCACGTGCTACTTTAGTCATTTTTAGTGACGCACTAAACCACCAGGCTTCCCTCTAACTGCCTGCAACAGCTAAAAAAAAAAAAGAGAAACTTGGATATCGATGCTAGTATGTCCATTCATCCATGCCTCCTAGACAGGTATACAGACTAACTTGGATTGCTTAAACAACTAATACATACATGACCCCTGAGAGTTCCGCTTACTTCCTTGTGTCACTGAATGCCTAGCCGTAGACTTCTGTTTGCTGCCCTCCTGCAAAGTGCAGCCACATCAAAAGCAAGCTCTCAGCCTAAAGACGCCAGTCCAACCACAACAAGCGCTTCACAGAGTAATACACGGGAATGTGTATGGAAACATATGGGACTGCCGTATTGGGCAGTCCCATACATTTCCACCTAGTGAAAGAGTGATTAAGCTCCAGGTTCCACGGCCGCTTGGATCGCACCAAGATGTCTAGTAACTCTGCGTCGAAGCCATCCGCCTCCAGCTCGCTCCTCAGTTTTGCCCGCGCACGTGCTGATTCTTTAGAGTCATTGTTATTGCTCATAATTCCTAGGTTCCTTTCAAGCATGCGCAGTTCTTTCTGCAGCGGATCGTCACCCTGCCGTTGTCGTTTCTGTGCCTTCTGCAGAGCTGCTGCTGCAGCACCCACACTTTCGCTGTCCTCCTCCCTGCCAGTAACCAAATATTCACTATCTACGCTTCCCCTTCCTTCCTCATCAATCTCTACGGGCCCACTATCCACTGACTCCGTAGCCTCGTCCTCCGAAGGCTGAGCATTATTGTCATTTCCGCTTCTGTACTGCTGAAACGTCACAGCGTCAACTCCCTGTTTCTTTATTTGTCGCTTCCTCAACCTCTGATGCTCATTCTTCTGCTGCCGCTGCTGCGCGCGCAGCCGTTTTCTACGCTCTTTTCGTGACAGCTGGCGATGTTGAGCCCGCCCATAAGTATGCGATGCCTCTTCCTTTCCTGCAGCACGCAAGTTACACAATCAACAATGCATGAATTTCCCGACTGCACGCGATTGGGCAGCTTGGTCAATATACGGCATACAGGGAGGGACGGGAGGATCGCAGTCAACGCCAGACGTGCCAACTAGTCCTCCAGCAGAATCGCAGCCCGTATCCTTATCCTCCAGATCTAAGAGCTCTTTGCGCAGAGATGAAGGAATACGCGTAGAGTTCCGACTTCTCCGGAGTGATTCTGCTCGGCCTCCCCGCATTCGACTGCGTACAAATCCCATTGCCGGAGAGCGTATTTGTGGGTTGCATGCGCCAGCAAATGGTGGACTTCCCACTAGGGATGTTGCCAATCGCGCATTTAATAGATAAATGCAAGTAGGGGTGTTGCCCAGGGTAGAAGGATAATATGTGTGTTGTCAGCAAGGAACTAAGCAGATCATCGATGTCGATCCCAACGTAGGCACCCAGCGTGTAGTGTACAGGCGCTACAATGTGGCTCTGGTGTGATCTCTAGTAGCTCATTGACAATAATGAGAATGATTATGACATTAGCAACTAAGAAAGGGAATTAATTCTGCTAAATGTTCTAAGAATCGAGTACCGTAGGTGGAGCCACAGGTTAGTAGGATTACCCCGCCAGCTGCCACTATCGGCAGTGTAGCGTAATACCTAGTCACTACTTGGGTACCAGATAGGCCCCTTTAGATATCTAATTGAAAAAGAAATAGAACTGTTACTATATAGGAGTATTATGTCTATAAATACGATCTTGGTGGATGGCAGTTATACGTCAGGCCCCTGACTGTGTAGTCACCGTTGATTTCCCCCCGTCATCTTACAGGTTGGGCGCTGACACCCAGCCATGACCGGCGTCAATTCAGAACGCAATGCCTTTCTTCTATGAACTCCCTTTATTAATAAATGTGAATCTAACATGAATTGGTACCTGCAGCATAGACTTCTGAGGCTTTGGGTAGTCGGCGGTAATACATAGGAAGCCAGGCAGGACGAGATGAAATGTAGGCACAGCTTAGGACGGCTGCGCACTACATTTGGGGGCTGTTCCAACCCAGAGACCTCTTCTTTATAGTGGAATGTATAATAAGAATCAGCAGCAGCACAATTAAAAAGCCAGGCAACTGAAGACAGATCGTCATTGTGTCAGTATACGCGGGCAAACCGTCTGTGAAGCACAATGGGTTCCACCGCCGGCGCGAGAATTCCATTGCGGGCTTCACTAGATGATCACCTGGGGGTGTCAAACCCTCCGAGAGATTACCGTAGGACCGTTAACCTCAATATTCCGCGTGAGGATGGTAGGAATATGATGTTCTTCCTTCGTCAAACAGGGTTGGTGTTTTTCGAGACCGGAATACCCACGGAAAACTGGGGACAAGAACTGCGCACATATTTGACCGGAGAGGCATTAAATTACTGATTCTACCTATGGGATACCAGGGAAACAGTCAGCAATTGGGAAGCTCTCAAACGTTCTATGCTAACTAGATTATGCTGGAGACGAAATAGTCTAACGTGCACATGAAGTCAGATGAAAGGGAAGTGCAGTAAAGTATGCCTCCGAGTTTTCAGCAATACTATGTAAGGGAGAACCCTTAACGCAGGAGCAGCAAGCGACAATTGTTTTAGCCAACCTGCCTGACCACACCGTAATGAGGATGACAAATGAGGCTCATGTTGAATTCACAACTTGGGAAGAAGCGGCTACGGAGTTGGAAAAGATTGTAGGGTTTACGGATGATACACTGAAACAACTAAGGCAAAATAGGCAATATTTGGAAGAAAGCCGTCGGCATATTCGAGGTGGGTCCCCTAGGAAATCACGAATTAGTGAAAGAGGAAACCTACCGGACTGGCGAGTATCTAGGGAAAGTGCTTGTTTCGAGTGCAGGGGCAGGGAGCGTGTAGCCTCGCAATGCCCATCTCTCCAGGAGGCTTTACGTCGTACAGGGGAGACGCGCCAGAAATGTGGGGGTGTAGGGCATTATGCCCGGGGCTGCCCCTCCCCGGGGGCTATGAGAACTGCAACGAGGCCCGAAGAGAGACAACCCCGTTCTAACGTCAAGGGCGAGGGACGTTTAAACGATCGAGCACTAAGCGACATTCTGATGGTAAGGGAACTATGTGCGCAGTAGCAACAGGACCTAACACCATAGTAGTCTCCCCAGATTTGGAAAGGAGGTTGTTGTAAAAGGATAAGCAAGGGGGAACGGAAGGGACGTTAGCCGAGAAGCCCCAACAGACACTGGTAGAGCACTGTAATTTAATGATTATACCGCCCCCAGAGGAAGAACCCAAGCCCAGTGGAAAGCAAGAAAATAGTGCACCCGATGTTCACGATGGAGAGTCACAGTGGTGGAGAGGCAACGGGGACGTCTCCAGTGTTGGAGGAATATGGTGTAATGCATGAACGATTGCCACTTTATGGGTCAAGGTTGCAGGAAATGAATGCGAGGCACCATTAGATTCAGGGGCATCAAGGAGCTTTATCAATCCTAGTACTGTAGATCATCAACAGCTAAATCAACAGCTAAAAGTACGACGGCTAGGAGGGGAGTGCATTTTCACAGTGGCCAACGGTGGGCAATTAAGGATTGACCCAGTAGAAAAGGGACTAATAATGTGGTGTGGGGATGTGTGATTGTGTGGAGACTTCTTAGGAGGGCCTGTACCATACGGCTAACTGAGCATAAGGCGGCATAAGGCATGGTCCTTCCACACATGTAAATTACGTGCATATGTAGATGGGCAATGGTGCTATATAACCCTAGCTCCTACTGAGCACAAGAAATCAAAGATAGAAAACGTTCCAGCAGCACGTCTGCGGACCCCTAGGGGGCTAGCTTGTGATATTCTTGCACAAAGATCGGTAGCAGATATATCACTGGAGGAGGCGAAGGCACTTCTGCCCCCCAAGAGGTACAAAACATCCCCTGGGGCGAGGAACACGGTGAAAATAGGCACATTACTACAGCAGGCTAAGGAAAACACAGATGAATTATCAGACCCACTACATGGGATGCCCAACATACTTGCTCTTCCGGTAGGCCAAAAATCGACAAATGAGGGGAAAGGAGCTCTGTCTTATGCTTTGCTTGAGACGTCAACAACTTCTGTCAGGCAGGCAGCTACAGAAATCCCGGCAACTAGTGAGCTAATGAACGACGTGGAAGAATCTCCGTGGCCAACAGCCTCCTTGCAACATGCTCGCTTAGACTCATGGACGGTGACAGAGATTGCAAGAGCAAGTCCACATCAGATCATAGATGTAATCCGAGATTACCGTGCGGTAGTCCCTCATAAACCTCCTTCAGGATTGCCACCGATGCTCCCATACGATTACAGGATCCTAGTAGTGACAGGGAAGTTACCCTCTAAGGCTACTATATATCGTATGACACCCGAAGAGCTCCAAGCACACAAACAGGAAATCGCTAAGTTAGCGGCTAGTGATTGGATTGGACCTACATACTCACCTATATTTGCCCCCACAATTACGGTCAATAAAGGAGAAGAAGGGACAGGTGAACGCAAGATGCGCATGTTGTGAATTATAGAGAGGTAAACGCACTCACTATTGCCCCGATTTCCCCCTACCTTCGGTTCTAACTATACTTGAGATGTTAGGGGGAGCAGGATTCTTTTCTAGTCTGGGCCTGGAATCTGGCTTCTATCAAATCCGCATGGCAAGGGAAGACATGTGGAAAACAGCCTTCCGTTCGGTTCTAAGATTATTCGCATACAAGGTCATGCCTTTTGCCTTGTGGTCTTCAGGGCGCACCAGCTACCTTTCAGGCAAATATTAATACCTATTTGCAACCGTTATAGGGTCAAGGAGTAATCGCATATCTAAACGACATCTTTATGTATAGCTCCGATATACCCAGTCATCTGGCTGTCTCCGACAAGTGTTAGGAATCTGACTACAACAGCATTTTTATCCGAAGTTCCGAAAGTGTAAATTTTTCCAAACAGGAACTTACATACTTGGGATACACCATTAGTTTAGAGGGAATTAAACCAGCAGCAGATAAGATTACAGCAATAAGGATGTGGCCCGAAGTGCTGGAAAACGAGACTCACGTCCGTCAGTTCGTAGTCACCGTCAACTACTGCCGCATGTGTATGGGCCCGGAATTTGCAGTAGTAGCTCGGCTTCTTATTGATCTTACATAAAAAGGGACACCCTTTGAATGGGCTGTCACTTTTACCCACCCCAACTTAAGCTGCGTCGTGCCCCGGTTTGCAGCCGCAACCAGCGACTCAAGGATTGCCTATAGAGGTTCCAGAGGGCTGGCTTCGCTCGAGCAATTTCAGGTTGCAGACTCCTGCCCATTTAACGTAATATTCGCGTTTTCGGTGCCCTCGCAGGACTGTCACACGTCTGTCAAGGGTCTCAGTCTCCTTCAGTTGTGGCTTTTCACAATGGAGTTGACACTGGGTCGTGAGGACGAGTAGCAAAGGATCTTACCCAACGCACAGCGAATTTCGACGGCTGCTTGCCCTACTGAGTGCTTTGTAGAGCGCGCAAAACCACCAAACCCAAGTCTGTTGGGATACATCCGGCTTGTGGACGTCGGTATCTATATTTCGTTGCCGGTTCACGGTCAACTTTTATGAAATTCCATGGCTGCGCACTACACAGAGTGTGGAATCGGAGCACCATATCCGCTGCCTATTTGGCACTTGTACGTAACATTGTGAAATAGTTGAGGCACAATACTCAAAAGGATTGTAGTTGTGAAGACACACGTGTAATCATGCAATGCCGAGCGGAATTTGCCGTAGCAACAGCCCTGCATGCACCACGATAGGACAGATTCTCGTCAGCAAACAGCATCCAAGAGTTTTCTTTCTGTCTGTAGTACCATGATGGCAGCCTGTGCTATCGGTAGCCCTCGAAAGTGACACTGCAGCATTGGCTGCCCGACGCTTGGCAAGCGTCGTGGAATTTGGCGCATGGACCGTCTTTAACCCAACCTAGAAGGCATGACGCCCCTAAGCAAGATAGTTTAGCCAATTTCTTCAGTGTGACTACGCAACAAAGAAGGCGGGTTTTTACGTGCATGAGCCTCACTCTTGCCGAGGCGCAGCAATCTGCATCTCAACTCTTGACACGCCGGCTCATTCTTATGACTTCGAGAAGCATTGGCCGCTGGATCAAGAACGCCTGGAGACAGCTGAGGGAAGTTAGCTGAATTTACAGTACCCTTACCCATTGCATTTCCCGGGCATTTGTGGATGATGCAGGTGATCCGTTTTACAGGTTGAGCACAAGCATGTCGTCCATGTATACCGCCATTTACCTCTTATTGAGTGGAACCAGGAAATTGTTATTGGCATGGGTCGTCAGCAGCACCGACTAGCCCAAAGAGTACGCGGATAGGCATGCAAGTGCAACTATGAAACAGTGAAGTTATGAGCGCACTGAGGCAGCCTGCAACAAGTCAAGTAGTTTATCTAAAAGAAACACCGGAACCTGCTGCTTCAAACCGATTGATGTGATGGGGGAGCTAGGATGGGGGCTGCCAAGATTCGCGCCCCAACTGCAACACTGCAGCAAAATTACCCCAAGTGGAGAAGCGATCGAGATTTTTGGTGCATTTACTATCACTGTAAATAATTAGCAAAGACTTCTGTTTGAATGCAGGCTTCCTACCCATTTGCAGGCTGCCTACTACTTAGGCCGGGTAAGCGTTCCAGTACCATCTGCGGACGTACCATGTTGCACACCCAGAATCTGAAGAAGCACGTACAGTACCTACGAAGTGTTCTGCAAGTGCTGAGCTGTGCGTTTTTTGTGCATTGAGGCGCAGTGGCTCTTCTGGGCACTAAAATACTCGATTGTAAAACCAGCTTTTTTAGCTTGCCTAATTTGGAAACAAGAAGCACCGGAAATTTGTCGGCGATAGATGGCATTACGGGGTGGATGTTGAGGTGGATGTTGCAATTGTACAGTATCACGGACGTTCAAAAGTTCCTTGCCCTCACCTAAAGTATCGGATTCCGCTGCACCTCGCTATAATCGTTGAAAGTGATCGAGGAGATTCAAGAGTAGCTAACATGGGATATCTCCGACTTCCAATCTACCTGGCGTTCCTCCAACTGAACAATTTTGCTTTTTAAACTAGGTACTGAGGCACGGGAATATTTGGCAGTGTAATTGCTCCTTGACAGGCGAGCATGCTGTCTTGTTTGCGCCGTTTAGCGCAGCAGCCCACTGCTCGTTGCAGCAAGGGTGGTGCTGCTGCCTGCAAGGGAGATACATCTAGTGTCAATGTCTGTCAGTTAAAATTATGGATTTGGAGATGATCAGAAGAATCAATTGGAGATTGTGGTTAGCTGCATCATTACAGGGGTTTCGTTGCCCAGTGGTTTCTTGGGGCCACAGGGTTGGTGGGGTCGATGGCTGCTCCACCAGATCCAAACACTAGTTTCTTAAGCGCGCCTCTCGTGAAAATTACCTCCTTTAATGTCAAAAAACAAATTTTGGGGAAATAATATGGACAATGCCTATTCGATAAGCGTCTCTTTGGCTTGTGGATGAACCACTCGCGGGGGGGC